ACAAATTGTATTAAATTATAGTAGTTGTACCATAGCAGCATGATAAGTAGTAGATTTTACAAAGTTACTTGGGGTCTTAGACTCGGAGAGGGTGACCTGTAAGCGGAAGGAAAAGAAAAAAAGCCTATCTCATGAAGAGCTTTTGGGGAAGAAAGATCTAGGCAGAATAAATAGTAATGCAGAGTCAGGGGGAGGGAGGAGCTTATATTATTAAAAGGAAGGCATGTTGGAAGGGTAGTGACCAAAATGGCAAGTGGTATGAGATGTGAGTGGAGAAAGCAGCGACGGTCAGACCTTGTGGGGACTTGTAGCATTTGGTAGGGAATTTTGACTTTATTCCAAATACAGTAAAAAGCTAATGAAAGGATTTAGAAAGGGAGCTACACAATTTGATTTTTTTAAAGATAATAATTGGCTGCATAGACATGGTTTGTTTGGCTAGGATCTTGTCAGTGGAGATGAAGAGAGAAAAAGAATATAGGTATGTTTTGGGTGGAGGACCTGTGGACCTTATCTGGGATAAGAGGCAAAATGAGTCATAAGAAACTACAAGTTATTTGGCTTGTGCAACTGTTTGTTGCTACTTACTAATTTGACAACGGGTGGAGGAGGAGAACGGTCTTGGGAGAGGGGAAATCAGGAGTTCTTTTTTGATGCACTTGAAATTAGGTTGCAGTCATTCTAGAGCTTTGGGAAGAGATCAGAGTTAAATTTTGGAGGCATCTGACAGTAGTGTTTAATGTTGTGGGTCTTATGAGATTACCTAGGAAGGAAGGTTGGGCAATCTACTTCTGTAATGATACTGCCTTGGAAACCCAAGAAGGGGTTGCTATGAGTCGGGGCCAACTCAACAGCACATAATAACAACAGGCAGATTATGAGTAAGGAACGAGGAGAAGATAGCAAAGGAGGTGAGGAGGAATAGTTGGTGAGATAGAAGGAAATCAGGAGAACAGGTGTCCTAGAAATCAAGTGAAAAAAAACAATCTTAAGAAAAAGAATGTCAGGTTTCTTGAGTGCTTTTGAGAAATGGTATAAATGATAAAAGAGAAGTATGTGTTAGATTTGATAACATGGAGATTTTGTTTTCTTGATGATCTGTTTCATTGGGTTGGAATTACACTGTAGTGGCTTGATGAGTGAACGAGAGACAGGAAACAAGGCAAAAGGTACAGATACCATTTTTGAGAAGTTTGGCTATAAGGACGTTTGCAAGATGGGAAATTTAAATTCATGTTGAACTTTTAGAAGCCTGCTATATATTATTTCTTTAAACTTTTTTTTTTTTTTTTTTAATTAGGATTTGGGTGAAGATTTACAGAGTAAATTCACTTTTCATACAGCAGTTCACATATACTTTGTCTCATGTCATTGACCAAAATTTACAATGCAGCAGCTCCCCTCCCACTTCCTCCCCATAGTTACCTCCTCCCAGTGTCCATCCCTTCATACTCTTCTGCACCCTGAGCTATCTCCCTGTGCATAAGCAGCCCTTCCTTCTCCCATGATTGTTCTCTCCAGGGCATGTGTCTACTTGAGGTAAATGTTTAACTCACATGCCTGTACTTTGTTTGGCTGGAAACCACAGTTGTGGGTTCAATTCCAGACCTGAAGGGCAGCTAGGGGCCATAGTCTCAGTGGTTACACCAGGCTCTATTGGACCAGCAAACCTGGTCCCCACCTTCTTTTTTTTTTTTTCCTCCAAATGATTTTGAGTTTTGTTCCACATTGTTCTCCCTCTCTATGCAGGATCTCCTACATCCCTTCCAAGTGGATGGCAGTGGTAGCTGGGCACCATCTAGTTCTTCTGGTCTCATAGTTGTATAGGTTGCAGATCGGATGGTGTACCAGTCGCTAGGACTGATTGTTTCCATTAATTTTGGTTTCCTTCTTTCTTCTTGATGAGGAGAGACCCATTGTTGCATCTAGATGGCAGCTTCCTAGCTTTTAAGGTCCCAGTCGCTACTCGCCAAAGTAGTAGGTGGAACAATGTTTTGTATAGTATGTTATGCCAATTGAGCTTGATGTCCCCTGTGACTATGGTCCCAAGCCCACAGGATCAACTACTCGGTCCCTCTGGGTAGCTGGCTGTGACCAAGCAATGACCATAACCTTGCCCCTTGTCAGCTCTACTATACACCTGGGAATTCTGATCATTCACATGAACTTATAGGCCCATTGTCTGCCAACCCTGTATATGATCTTGGATACACTCTCCATTTAGACATACCTAATTGTTTAGCTTGTTCACCTATCTATCCGTCCCTATACCCATGTCTGCTTTCACTGACAACTCAGTACTGTATATGCAAAGGGTTCATATTTGTTGTCTGTACTGCCCATGTAACTCTCTATGTCTTTCTTATCCTCAATGCTGCCATATTGGTCACTCACATTTGGTACATTGCCCTTCTCTTCACCCAAATCAATATTTATCTGTATCTATCTAACAGCATTCCCTCCCCTCCCCTCCCACCCCTGGTAACCAACAAAGAAAATGTCCTAGAATATATAAACCTTTCCTTAACTTTTACAATAACGGACTAATACAATATTTGTCCTTTTGTGACTGACTTATTTTGCTCAGCATAATGTCCTCCAAGTTCATCCACGTTATGCGGTGTTTTGCAGATTCTACATTATTCTTTAGCGTTGCATAGTATTCCATTGTGTGAATGTACCAAAGTTTGGTTATCCATTCCTCAGTTGTTGGACGTCTAGGTTGTTTCCAAGTTTTGGCTATTGTAAATAGTGCTGCGATGAACATCGGCGTGCATATATCTGGTCTTGTTATGGCTCTCACTTCTTTAGGGTATATACCTAGTAATGGGATGGCTGGGTCAAATGGTATTTGTATTTCCAACTTTTGAAGGAATCGCCATACTGCTTTCCACAATGGTTGTACCATTTTACAGTCCCACCAGCAGTGTATGAGAGTCCCAATCTCTCCACAACCTCGCCAGCATTTGTTATTTTCTGTCTTGTTGAACTTTGCTACTAGTGCTGGAGCAAGATGGTATCTCATTGTTGTTTTGATTTGCATCTCTCTAATAGCTAATGATCTTGAGCATTTCTTCATATGTTTGTTGGCCGCTTGAATATCCTCCTTGGTGAAGGGTCTATTCATGTCTTCTGCCCATTTTTTAATTGGATTGTTTGTCTTTTTGTTATTGAGGTTTTAAACTTTCTTTTTGATTCAAGTTTATACAGAAATATACAGGTCAACCTTGCCCTATCCATACCCATATCCACTCTTCCCCTTGCGTATTATTTTAAGGCAAATCCTGTATTTCATTTATAAATATTTAAGAATAAATGTTAAAAAGCCTAACCACAATAAATTATAACAAAAATTCTTTAATATCAAATATCTACTGGGTGTTTAGATTTCCACTTTTCTAATAAAGAGTCTTAAAGTTTTAAAAAAAGATTCTACATAAAGTCCATGTGATGTATATGATTGGTAAAGTCTCTTTTTTCTACTGTTTTCTTTTGTGCAAGTTATATTGTTGAAGAAACGGTGTCATTTGTCCCTTTGCATGTGCTGTTTATTTACGTCCCTGTGGTGCAGGTCAACACATTCTTCTGACTTGTGTATTTCCTATAAATTGTAAGTTCTAAAGGATTGGTGAGGTTTTTTTTTTCTTTTGAGAGACTGATAAGTTGATGTGTTTTTCCATCAGGAGGGACATGTCTGCTTATTTCTCCTTTTGTGGTGTTAGTGGCTGTAGATCTTTTAGCTCATTACCAGTTGAAAAATGATACTCTAATTCTATAATTCCTTCTTCATTTATTCATTTATTAGCTGCAATAATTTTGAAATGAGAAACTTCTCTTCATCTGTCCTTATTATCCAGGGCTACAGTTTGACTAGAATAAGTTTTATCTTTTCCTTTAAATTTTCACAATATGAGTTGATTCTTTAGCATCTCCCTATGGTGACCAACTAGTTTTTGCTTTTTTAAAAGAAAAAAAAAAATTAAATGTGGTTTTAAATATATTTGTTGTTTCAATCTTCTGCAGTTACTGTTTTTGCTGATACTCAAATTATCCTGTTGTTCAGTGGGAGCCTGGACAGGTTAGCTCCTGAGTTCTTTAACAAGAAAGATCTTTGACAGCTGTCTTGCAATCGGGAGTAATGAAATGCTCCTTGCATCATCTGGTGTATGTCTTGTCTGAGACCTAGAATTAACTAATTCTACAAGGATGTGGTATTCGGAGATAACTGTTACTGTTTTACCTTTTTGTTTATTTATTTTGGGTTTCAGGTATGTATGAAAACAACTGTATGTGCGTTTAATTTTTTAGATCTTATGTGACATTTTGATTTGTTTGGAGTGAGGGGGGGTGGTTTTTTGCATTAATTAAATTGCCATAGTGAGTGAAGTTCCCTTACTGCATTCCATTTATGGAGTAAAGGGCTCTTCGTGTGTCAGAAATTACTTCATCTGGAGCTAAAGTGGAAACTACTCATTTTCCTAGTGGTTTTTCTATTTTTCATGGATGCTTTTTATTTGTTTTTTATTGGTAACTTTAATATATTGTGGCTAATGTCAGTTTTGCTTTTCCTTTGTAATGGATGATTCATTATATACATATTTCAACCTGGCATTTAGGTAGAGAACTAAAAGAAATGGAATTTTTTTTTTCCTTTTCTAAAACGTCACCATTTTAGCTTGGAGGCAGAGAGGGGAAAAAAAAGGCAGAAAGCTTGCCACGGAATTGTGTGAACTTGTAGGAGCTGAAATTAAAGCTGCCAAATGAAGAAATTTATCTTCCAAGATTCCTCCTACTTCATATGTCATGGATCTCAGTTCCGTTGAATTTCTCCTTTTCCTGTGTGTATGTGGGGGAGATTTATATGTTATGGTTGTAGTTTCATAAAATATGCCAGGCAGTAAATGCCAGTACCATTTAGAAAGAAAAAGGAAGAAAATGATAACTTGGGCAAACAATTCTTGCTAAGCCCTAAAATATATCACTTTTATTCATCCATACAGAAAACAAGCATGAGGCCAAGAGGAGGCGAACAGAGAGAGTTAGGCGAGAGAAGATAAATTCTACAGTAAATAAGGATTTAGAAAACAGAAAGAGGTCTCGAAGTAACAGCCATTCAGATCATATCAGACGAGGAAGAGGAAGACCTAAAAGTGCATCTGCCAAAAAACATGAGGAAGAAAGAGGTATGAATAAAATGCAAGCAGTTTTTTAACCCCAAAGTATTAAACTGATCTGCTATCTTAATTAGATAGTAGTGAAAAAAGTGTTTGGTAGCTCCTGGATTTAAAATCACAGCTCAAATTTTAGTTTGAAAGCATTTCCTCCATGGTAGATGCTTATTTCAAAAATTACAGAAATTAAATTCTTATTGGAAACAGAAAAGTGTAAAGGTAACATCTATCTGCTATAAACTGATGATAATAGAGTTCAGACATAATTTATATATGAAATCCTGGAGAAGCCTGCTAAAGTGGTTGTACTTTTTTTTTTTTTTTTAAGAGAAGTCTGAGTTGCATTCAGACCTATTTCAGACTCTTGTATCATGAATTTAAAAGTATTGAAAGTGTTTTTCATTATGAATTTTTAAGTTGCTCCTTGAGAGATTTGTATATTCCCTAATTTGAGGCAGCTTTTGGATAGTTAGGTCCAAAGCGTAGGCGTATTTCTCCTTATAAATCTCTTTTCTTCTGATATTATATCAACCAATACTTTTTTTTTAATCATTAACTAAGTCTTCTTTCTTTCTTTGATTTATGCATCTTTTAAAAAAACTTTGGTAACATGAACATTTTCAAACCTAGGCAAAAATAAGATTAATGAGCCCCCATAGACCCATGCATATCTTTTTAAAATTGAATTTCAAGCCAGTATGTAATGAAAAAAAGAGATAGTTGCTCTTGACAATTCTTTAAAAACTTCTCTTTCAAAATGATTTCATCTTCAGTGAAATGATTTATAATTTTATACTTTGTGAGTTACGATTTGCCTCTTTAGGTATTCAGTCTTATACTCAAGTGCTTTCTGCATAAATGTGAATTTCTCTTATTCTAGACACTGAGAATTATTATTTTTAAACGTGTTCACCCTTTCTTTCTGCTTTACTTGTGTTTGAATAAGGTTGCTCTTATAGGGACAGTAACTTCACTGATAAGCTGTTCCTAGCTTTTATTGAACTTAAGTGTTTCTTAATATTGTATGGTTGAAGAAACATGGTTTATGTAATATTTGACTGTATTCTTTGAAGACTGTACTTAGGTACTCCTCAATTCCCTGGATAATATGGCTGCTTTTTCTCTTTCTTCTGTTATGCTCTTCTGGGGAGTTTGAGTTATTGTCTCACTTTGAATGTACTTCCTATAACAATGGGATGATTAGAAAAATCTTTGCTAGAGTCTGTTTCAGAAGGAAAATTGGTTAAAGAAAAGTCAACAGAGGGGGAGAAAAAGAGATGGAAATACTGCTTGGCCCGGAAAACAGAGCATTCTTTTCGATTGATGTAAAGGGAATGCAACCCAAGGAAAGGAGAAAGAATGCTTTTGGTGGTGGGTGAAAGGCGATGAGAAAGCAGATAATGACAGCCTTTTAGTCAGAAAGTGAAGGCTATAGAGTTTGTATAGTTGTGTTAGGACTTGCTTGAACAATTTCCCTCAGGAAGATCAGCATGAGGCCGGTCCCCATGAGGCAGAGGTTAAAGATGTCCCAAGTGTCCAAACTACCATGCCACTCCATCATTTCAGACATTAACTCCTCCTCCTCCTCCCAGTAATTTCCCCAGTCTTAGGGTTCTGTATTTCACTGTAACGCCTCACAGAACTCACAGATACCCAAGGGTTCATCTCATGTAGTAGTGGTGGAGGCTGGCAGGCTGGCGAGTCCCGGGTCCATGAGTAGGTCTGGCGGATCCTCCCAACTCTCGGGGTTTGAGGAACCTCGATCAGCAGATAAGATGACGGCTGCTGTCCCAAATCCAGGGGTGAGATGAGGATGAGCCAAGACACAAAGCCGGAGCAAGAGGAGGGCGAATCTTCCCAGGAGATTCGTAGGTATACCCTCAGGGAAGCTAAGGGTGGTGATTTGAATTATACCCTCCAGCAAGGCAGGACTCAAGATACATTCCACCTGTGTTGCCCCAACAGAAATAACATAAATCCCATCACAGAGTCATTGCCAGTCATTACAGGGAATGACTACTACCAGCTGCCCAGCCAAGTTGATACCTGACCTTAACTACCACACCACCCCAAACAGGCATGGATAATGGGATTTACAAAGCATCACAGAATGGAGGACAATGGCTAGAAGGGCCACATCAAGGAATTCACCATAGGACTCAAGTGTATATGTAGGTGTTCTGGTTACCTAGTGCCACTCTGACAGGAACATACCACAAATGGGATGGCTTGAACAAACAGGAGTTTATTCTCTTACAGTTTGGAGGCTTTAAGTCCGGTTTCAAGGTGCCAGGCTCTAGGGGCTGGGTGAAAGTCCCTCAACCTTGGGCTTTGTTTAGCTCTGCCTCCTGCTCCTGGCACACTGAAGCTGGAGGCTTTTCTTCATTTAGCTACTGAGGCTGACAAGCCCAAGGTTAACAAGTAATAGGGCACAGTCCTGATATTACCAAACCACATGGCAAGCCATTAATTCAAGTCCATTAAAAGTCCCAAGATTGGCAGAGCATGGCAGGCTGCTGCATGCAGGGTTCAAGTGTACCATAAGCTAGAGACCATCCCCAAAGCTGCTGCTTATATATGGGAAGCAGACACTTACCTAAAGCAGCTACTCAGCTGCTTGTGGTAGATCCCACCATGGAGTTGATTGCCAGTCTCATCATGGGGAGTAACTACCACCAGCTGCCCTGCCACTCAGCCAGGCCCAACCAAGTTGACACACAAGTTAACTACCATAGTAAGCTTGAACTTTTATTTCATGATGAGTTGAAAAAAGAAAGATATGGCTATTAGTTTTTTCAAGTGTTTTCAGTTTATTATAGAAAAATTTAAAGAAAGTTATCTACTTCTAGAGTAAGTTAGGCATTTAGTTTATTTGCTTTTGTTACAGATTGCAGGAAACTAACTGGTCAGAGGTTTTTGTTTTTTTTTTAAGCACAAACTGGAATCTTTTAATTTAGAACAAAAGTCAGCCATTTTTTTGTGTAACGAGCCAGATAGTAAAGATAGGTGAGCCATACAGTCCCTGTGACAACTACCCAACTCTGCCATTGTATCTGGAAAGCAGCCATAGACAAAATATGTAAATAAATGAGCATGGCTGTGTCTCAGTAAAGCTTTATTTTTTAAAAAAGTGGCAGCCACATTTTACTCACACGCTGTAGTAGATCATTGTTCCCCTTATTGTAGACCATTGTTCTATAAATGTAATAGAAACAAGAAATAGAAATTTTGAAATGTCTGTATTTATTTTAGGATATGAAACACACTGCTGTCGAGTTGTACCTGACTCATAGCAAACCCTCCTTGGGTTTCCAAGGCAGTATCTTTACGGAAATAGATTGCCTAACCTTCCTTCCGCGGTCTGGCTGGTGGGTTTGAACTGCCAGTCTTCTGGTTAACAGTCAAGTGCCTTAGGCACTATTTAATATGCTTCTTGGTGCTAAGTAGCCATTTAATTTAATTCCGTTTTTATTGACTCTCTACTCATAAGGCACTTAAAATCTGGAGCAAGGATTAAATATTTTAAAATATGTCTTAAGGAAATCCTAACGGTGTATTTAAATGGTTCAAAGTCAAAACTGCTTTAATTGGCTTTAATCAAAAGATTAGCAGTTTGAACTACCCACCACTCTGCAGGATAATCTGCTTCCATAAAGATTCACGGTCTTGGAAATCTTATAGGACAGTTCTTTTCTGTCCTGTGAGTTGCATTTGACTTGATGGCAGTTGGTATACTGAAAAAAAAATCAGGGAAAGAGAATGAGAAAGGAAAGCTTGTTGGCCATCTAGATAAAAACTATCTTAATAAAATAAAAGTATCATTAAACTCAACATTTTTGCTTGGTCTAAGATTTCCATTTTATATGTGAGAGTGTTATTATTCTGGGTATTAGTAATCTAGGTGTAAGATTTTGACTGATAAATATATGTTGGGCAATTCTGAATGTCTTTTTAATGAAGTTAAAGAATAGAAATAGACTTCAGGTTAAAGATGGGGGATTGAATAGACACATCTAGCTCTGCTTCCTTCCAAAATCTCAGTACAATGACAATGAAGGAGTATTTTTTAGAGGACAAAACCCCACAAGCACAAGGAATGGGAGAAGAAACAACAGCAACAAAATCCTGGAAACTGAAAAATAGTAACTGCCTTAGCAGACCTGTAAAACCTCATTTGTAACCTCCTTTGGTGAAGGAACACACTGATTTTTATTACAGAATTGCCAAAAGTTGAGGATTGCCAAAACATCAGTTATGTATGGAAGTGGAGGTGAAGATGAGGCTGAAAATAGAAAGATTGTTTGAAAGTCTGTTTATGAACATCCCACCAGGGCTGTTCACTTCTGCTCTTCCCCTTACCCCCTGAGCTTATCCTTTGGAAAGAATAAGACAAAACAGAGACTCTTGAGGTCTAGGCAACGCCAGGCATCATTGAAGACGACAAGGGTTTTATATCAAAATCAGGAAGATTAAGTGAACATTGGATGTGGTTGAATCTTGATTTCTTCAACCAGGCTTTTATCTTCCGGGTAAGAGATTGAAAGTACCTTCTTTAGGGAATCAGAAATGCACAAGAGAAAAAGTCTAAAATAAATATATTTTCATTCAGGGGTTAGCAATGGAATGGCCCAGTGAAATCATCCTAAAATGTTGACCACAGTTAAGCTCCATATTTGCGTGAGCTTCTAATCAACAGTTTTGGTGTCCCATTCTGAAATATGAGCACTTTACCAGGAATCACCCAGATACGTGGAAGAACGCATGTAGCATGAAAAGCTGAGACCAAAACAACAGGGAAAAAATAACTTGGAGAAAACAAGACATCAGGTTTTTTTATTTTGTTTTTTAATTAAACTGATTAATATTTTAACAAGAGAAGATGCTATATTCATGGTAATATTTAAAAAGAAATTGCAGAGGTCAAAGCATCTGGAACATGAACTTTAAAATATGGTGAACAGAAATGAGAGATTTAATAGAAAGTTTAAAGATAAAATTGAAGAAATGTTCCAGAAAGCAAAGTAAAAAGGAAAGATGAAAAAGTAGAATAAAAAAGATGAGAAACTTAGAGAACTAGTCTAAAGGCTGACATCTGTAAATAATTGACATCTAAGAACAAGAACAGAGAAGACCAAGAAGTCATCAGTGAAATAATTCAAAACTTGCCCTGAACTTGAAATACATTGAATTTCCAGATTGAAAGGGCCTTCCAAATGCCCAACTCAATAGATGGGTAAAAATAAGAATTGTACCACATGTACAATCATGTTTTAATTCTCAGAGTTCACTTGACTGTACCATCATGTTTTATATATCTCTTTGGTTAAAGAGAAAATCCTGCAAGTTTTCAGAGAAAAAAGAAAAGAACCAAAATGGTATTAGAATTAATACAGTGGAATGCTACCCAGCAAAGAACAGTGCACTGATAAATGACGGTATGGCATTCTGAATCTCAGAAACATCAGTTAGCCAAAGAAGCTTGACAGAAAAGAGTACATATTACATGCCATTTATATTAAGTTTAAGAACACAGAAAATGAATTTATGATGATAGAAATCAGAACAGTGGTTGCCGGTAGGTGATGGGGAAGGATTGACTGGAAAGGATCATGAAAAATTGACTGGAGTGAAGGAAATTTTCTGTATCTTGATTGCAGTGTGGATTAATGGATATATACATTTCTCACAACCCATCAAATTCTATACTTACTATCTGTGTGTTGCACTGTATGTAAATTTAATAATAATTTAAAATATAACAATAAAAAGTGTTGGATTTTCTCAGCAATGGCACCAGTAGTGGAATATAATTCATTGCCTGGGGAGAAATCTATAAATCTTAATCAAACTGAATTAGTGTGAAGATAGATTGAAGACACTTTTGGACAAAGTTTCAAAAAATTTGCTGCCCATACTCCGTTTCTCAGGAAGCTACTACAAGATAAGTGCCACCAGAATACAGAAGTAAATCAAGAAATGCTTATGGCATGCAGGACACAGAGCAGCCAACTCAAGGGGAGGTGAGGAGAGTCTCGAGCAGGATGCTGAAGAGAGATCTCGAGATGATAACTGTACAGCAGGCCTAGAAGGCAGGTCAGAAGAAGGTCAGAAGACTCAGAGAGATTTCTTCAAGGAGATAAAATTGATGAAATACCTAACGTGTGTAAACATTCTGGAAAAGATTTATACAATTAGATGAAGTTTGGGTTGAATTAGAAATGGGTAATAGAACACTAAGCAAATAAAATCAGTGACTTCAGGAAAAACAAAGTGTACAGGAAATGAAAAGTGAAAATCATTTATATGCTCATAATGTAAACACTGAAAATTGATCTTACCACAGTTGTGATTAACTGTAATGGGAGAATGAGGGAATGGGAAGAGTGTGGTGGGGGCAGAAGATGGGGCAGAATGAAGTTGATTTTCCGTGGTGAGAAGTTAATGAATGCCTGAAATGAACAAGCAGCATCAAATGAAAATGCTATTTAGAGATGGGAAGTAAAAAAAAAAAAAATGAAAAGATCAACTTAAAAAAAAAAAAGTTGTATTTGGAGAGTGGAAAATGTACATGGGGAGGAAAGTCTTCTGTGGTTTGTAACAAGTGTAAAAATGATTTTGAGTCTTTACGTGTTTAAGTTTGACTAAAAAGTCAAAACAAAACTAGAATCATCATAAAGCCAGAAAAAGGAATGTAATTGTGATTTCAACTGGCTTATGAGATAATAGGTGATTTTTTTTTATCTGTATTTTTCAATTTTCTTCCATAAACTTAGATTAAATTTGCAATCAGGAATGGGGAAGAATCCTAACTACATGATATTTTTAAGATGTTTCTGTTGTCTTGTTTACTTACTTTATCAAGGTATAACATTATTATCAAGGTATAATATTAAAAATTGAAATAAATGTTGGTTATTCATACTCACTGTAGCAGGGTTATGGTGAAAAAGTTAATGTATTCATAAAGTCACCATTAATAATCAGAGGACACTCTCTTTAGGCTGAAAAAATTCATTTTGATTCAGACAGTGAGCTCACACTAGTGTGGAGAAAAAAAGATTTGAGGTTCTTATTTCTAACTCACAGGCACACAACAATAGAAATGACCAATGTAGATACAGATACATGTGTGTATACAAGTGTATATAATCTGTTTGTTGTTGTTGCTATGTGCCATCGAGTCAGATCCGACTCATAGCAACCTCTCCTTGGGTTTCTGAGGCAGTATCACTACGGAGGTAGATTGCCCAACCTTCCTTCTGAGGAGTGGCTGGTGGGTTTGAACCGCCAGCCTTCTGGTTAGCAGTCAAGTGCCTTAGGCATTACACTACCAGAGCTCCTATAGTCTGTTTAGTCTGAGTATTTAATGGCATTTCAATTACTTTGTGTAATTTTTAAAACTTCTGCAGCATACTTTATAATATTAATGTACAGTGTAGTAGTCTAATGTTTATTATTTCTTAGATATTTGGGATAATTTAAAAAATTTAAAAAGCATTAATCTAGTACTACCCCTTACATTAAGCTTTCCCTTTTTCTTTTAACAGAGAAACAGGAAAAGGAAATTGACATCTATGCTAACCTCTCTGATGAAAAGGCTTTCGTGTTTTCAGTCGCCTTGGCAGAAATAAATAGAAAAATTATCAATCAAAGACTTATTCTCTGATACTTGTCTGCAAAATCTATTGAAACTTTCTTCAGGATTACATCAGCAAAGTCTCAAACAGTTACGGACTCTCAGGAGCATTCTGAATGCATCAGTAAGGGCCACTGATTGTTTTTTCCCCTCAATGGACACTCCACGTCATTTAGCCTGTGTCACACTTTGGGAGCAAAACTGTAGACTTGGACTGTTCTGGGATTTCCTTATTTACCAAGGAGCATTGTCAGTGTTCTGTGTTTGAAATATAAGTATGTGTATTTACCTTTTTACAAAATGCTGGATGGATATTAAGGGTAAAGGGGTGGGATCGGGTTGGAGGTATGAAAAATAGGGAAATAAAATACTTGATAATTTTCAGGTTTGCCACTAGAGATGCAATATTTTAAATACTTTCAGAAAGAGTGACTTTTAAATATATATATTTCAGATTTTCAGCACTAATAGATCACAATTCATTTACCTTTAATAAATTGGCAATGGATATTTTATTGAATGGGGAATTAAGAATATAAACTATAAATTTTGTCTGAAATTGATTGTTTTTCCTTTGGCCTTTATATTTATGACTTAAGGTTATGAGTTCTATCTTGGGAAATGATTTCTAGACATTCTGGAAGTTTGGGTGCTATATGAAGAAAAATACCATACTGAAGAGATATATACCTTGTTTTCTTGAATGTAATTTATTTATTGGTTATTTTTTTTCTGCTCTCAAGATGGTGCCTGTTAATCTAAACATACATATATTTATTACATATAAAATATTTCTTAGATAGCCACTTTTAAGCAGTAATGTTTTATCTGAATGGATAAATTATCATCCTGATAATTATTTAAATTGTTACTTAACTTCACTCTGGAAGAAAAAAATAAACCTTAATATTGAAACTTAAGTAGAATAAATAGTGTGGTAGCTTTTTCTAGTGAAGTTTATGGAATATATTTAAATTAAGTTTTCTAGTGTTAAATCATAACTTTATAATTACTTTATACTAAATGCTTATGCATTTTTGAGTCTCAAATAATGATTAGTATCTTTAAACTTGGTAATAAGCCCCTTACTTTCAGCTTTTTTCCTGATTCTGTTTGGAAGTCCTAAAGCCATATTAGGAAAAACAGACCAGTTAGATGTAGCCCCTACTTAAGAAAATTTCCCTTTCAGTTTCAGTATAGTCGGCTTCATCCTGCACCTTCCACCCTATCCAAAAAGGTCTACATTTTTTCTCTACTTTAAGTGGTAGCCACTAGAGGGAGCTGAAGAGGCGCTGTAGTTAGGATGTACAGGTATGCATGGTTTGGACAGCATCTGTGTGGGCAAGTCTGCCTGCATATACTGATGGGGTGGGGGAGCTTGCTTGGAAGGGTGCCAAGAGGTATGTCTATCATTAAGTGCCCTGGCAGCCCTTGCTTGGCTCCTGTGGCTACTGGGGCTTGGTTGCAGCCCGAGAACCATGGAGTGAGTGCTTTGCAGCCCCGAGCCACAGTGCCAGCTGATCCACAGCTGTCACAGCTCCCACAGTTCACATGACCTGCCTGGCTGTCCTGAGTGTAGGTGCTTGAGAGGAGATGCTGGACTGTGGCTATTCTATTTGGTCCCTTGGGGGGCTTCCAGTAATGGACAGGCTCAGAGGGCACTGTGCCCGGAGACAGCCATTTGCAGGTACAAGTTTGCAAACCCCAAGGTCCTGGATGCTAACAGAGCCAGAGCAGCTTGGGAGGGAGTTACTTTGATATATGTATTTTGAATATATACAAACATATGTATTGTACATAAAATGGTATTCATTTGTCCAATGCATATAATGTCCTGTTTCACAGAACATAATGTGGACATGAAGCGACACATGCCTGTACAATTTTTCCAGAATTCCTTTTCCCTCATTCCTCATATCTGCCTACAAGTACTACTGGCAGTCTTCTTGGGTGCGTTTAAACCCAATAATAAAGTCTACTCCCAAGAATACGAATGTGATTTTTATCTTTGAAACACACTACAGTGGAACCTCTTAGAAACAGAACTTCGCAGGACTGCCTTGTTTTTCTAGGTCTTGCGAGTTTTGCACCTTTGACGGTGCAGACTTAACCATTTTTGTATTCCTTGTTTTAGTGGAAAATATTTTGAGTTTCCCTCTTCTGACAAGTTTCTGCCTTACATAGGCTTTTGTAGATTTTGAGAGAAAAAATAAGTGATACCTAAGAATGCTTGCAAACATACATCCTTAGTAAAAGGAAGAGGAGTTTATGGAGTAGGCATCTCTTCAAAGAATTAATGACATCAGAATCTATCCCATTTAAAGCTGAAGACTATTAGAGGAAAAAGTTGTGTTAAAATATTCATGGGATAGGGTAATGGAGGAGACCGGTGACTAGGTTTGAACCTAAGATGCTGTGAAATGGTACTAGTAGTAGTGTTGCAACCTGTCAACTTCAGGGAAGGATAATGTGAATCGAGATCAGCCCAAGGCTGATCCCTATGAGTTCAGGTGGAGGTCAGACATACATCCACTCTCCAACCTTTTTACCAGTTTTGACAGCAGCTGTCCCTCCCCTGTCACTCTGCTTCTCTGCTGGATTTCATAATCTGTTGCAGTGGTCACACAGAACTCACAGACCTAATTTACAGTTAAGTGGATTATTAAAGAAGTAACAGACTACAACTCAAGATGAGGATCAGGAAACATGTAAGCCGAGTCTGGAAGGCTCCCCCAAAGTGAAGTGCACATCTCTTTTCTTAAGAGCAAGACATTGCTTTCAGCTTCTCTTGGCCATACAAGCAAGCAGACTCTTCTCTTTGCAATGCACGCCCCCTCAGCTATGCAGATCTCCTCTCAAAGCCCTTAGGACAGACCTCAGCCCCTTGAGGACAGGCTTCCTTTTGACCCCTTCAGGACAGGTCTCTGCCTTCCCCCTCCTTGCTGTCACCACCAGCTGCCACAGAGTGCCTTCCAGGCCTTTCACTGTCTTCAGGGTTACAACCCTTGGCCTGTGTTACAGCTCTTTTACAAGGTTCCTTCCCTCCTCCTTTGCTGCTGCTCTCTCCTTAACTTTCTTAACTTTTCTCCTTTCTGCTGCTATCTTGACTGCTAACCTCTGTGGAGCTGGCTGCATATATAAGCAAACTCCTGGTCGGTTTCAAGACATGACCTTCTTGCTAAGGCCATAAAATGCTGACCAATCCCCTCTCCGTAGGCCAAAGACACTTCATTTGCATAAATATATTGACCAGTCCTTGCAAGGTGATTAAATAGACCAGTCACAAGGCAGGCTGTAGCCTAGGACCAGACAAAAAGTATCAAACCACAAGTTGTTTACAGCTTGCTCAGGAACTGTCAGTCAACCTGGATAAGTAACAAACTCCCTGGGGTAGAAAACTAGGGCAAAGGGAACTCCTCATGGTTTAGGAAGAAAATCTCAAACTTTTTTTCAAAGAACCAAGGCAAAAGACCACATGAGCTCATTTCATCACAGATGCTCATAATATTAAGTCATGGCTTACTTAAAATAAATTTTGGCAGAGAGGAAAATTAGTCTTCTCTTTTAATGTAGCCTGTTTAACCAGCTTCTCTAAATTGTATTCTCTGATAGTACATTTATAAGCTATTTCATTGTAAAGCTAAGAAATTTAACTTGTCTAGGTGTGTTGTAATGCTCTCAGAAAAAATTATTTTATTATTGGGGTTGAAGAAAGGTTTCTTGTCTGCAGATGTCCTAGCAGCATAATTGTAATTCTTTATTTTTAAATTTCAACTAGTATCTGTAAATGGTCTGATGATCCAAAATGTCCTTCAGGAGTTCCATATTTAGATTAGGTCATTCAAGATCTGTTCATGCTTAAATGTAAGCAAAATTGGGAATTATTAGACTAAACTGTATAAATTTATATGTTACCCTTTCCCAACTTGTCCATTCCTTGCTATGTCAAGATGATTTTTATGATACTTAAATGCTTGAAGTTTGATTTAAAAAAAAAAAAAACATGGACGTATCTTACATGTTTGTGTGCAAGGAAGCCTTATGTTTATGTTTAATACATTATTTTAAAAGTAAAGGAAATACTATAGATTACTTCTTTAGAAAAAAATCAAACATCTTCAGACAGTTTGTTATGATGAGCTATAATTTAAAATGACAAATGACTTAAAATTTAGCCAGAGTAAATTCATGTTTCTTTAAATTTCAGAAATACTTTAAAATAATGGTCGATATGACGTGACATTTGTGTTACCTCCTAAAAATGACCCAACTTTAATAATTATATGTATTTATCTTGTGATAAGAATTTAGCTTTCCTAAACTCTGGTAATTGTACTTGATCCTCTGATTCTTACTGTAAAAATGACTAAATGAGGAGTTCCGGCAAGATGGCGGACTAGGCAGAAGGACTGCACAGACGCTCTTCCACAAAGAAAAGGGAAACCAATTAACACAGACACAGAAGATAATCTTGGACCCCTGAGCCTTGAAGGGAAGGATACCAAAGTGGACGAAACCCCAACTAGCAGAAGAATTAGCGTGAAAATACCAAAAAAGGAGACAGACGGAGCTGCAGTCTGGCAGCGGCCTGAGTGACCCTGATGGCACAGACGGCAGGGCTTGGAGATTCCCGAGTGGTGGTAGGACCTAAGAATTAACCTAAAAATCACC